AACAGCTGCTAGCTCTTCAGGTTAGAGTCAAACTGCTGCTGCTTCTTCCCATTTCACTCTGTGTAAACCTCATGTTGGTTTAGAATGCACTTGTCTCTCTACTAGTTTGTGTATTCCTTGAGGGCAGGTGAGCTTCACTGATGAACTGCAGCAATTTTGTTTCATCATCTTTTCTTATTCTTATAACTTTGGTTTTGGCTATGACTCCAACCCTAGCCCCTGTGACAATCTCTCCTGAGGCACTGCATAGTAGGAAATGGTTTGTCTTCATAGGACTTATTGGACCTGCTCTGTTATGTTACTGCAGCCATACCATTTTGCTTGTCTTCTGTCCATCTTGATGACCTGGAAGAGATAGCAAAGATCACACATGCTCTACTGGGCTTTGGTTCTCACAGCAGGGAACACAAGTCTGAGGCTAGTGGTCATGTGGGTGGGTGGCAAGGTGAGTCTTCTTGGGAGCTATGGCACAATGTTTGGACATGAAGTAGGGTTTCAAAAGGGTGTGGCCCCAAGATTTACATTTATGAAGGCATTGTGACATATTCTGAAAGTTTATCTGCTGCCTTCATGCTGGAAAAACATAAGCACATTGGTTTAGTCTCTAAGAAGGAGAGTAATTAGATTTAGACCAGTCAGTATCTGCTTTTCCTTCTTGAAGCTGGAACCATTATAAGTTCTTGGGAGAAGAGAACTGAGTTGGACTTGACATTGAGGACAGTGTGAAGGTAAGGATAATTTAACTAAGAAAACTTTTTTGAAATAGTTGAAATTTGGGAGATAACGTACTGGTATGGAATGATGGAGAACTTTAAAGCTACAAATGCTTGTATATATTTTGCTTTGAGTGTTCAAGCAAATGGTAAAGTGAAGTTCAAGAAATAGTTAAAATTTGTTTAGTGTATGGGGATTTATAAATGTGCCTTGAAAGGAGTCACTAAGATTTAGGAATACTTTATTTTGGTGGTGGCTCAAGATGAAATTTTAATTTAAGTTTCCCCCATGGCATTCATTTTATACTGAAGTTAGTATTTGGTTGAGATTCCACCAAGAAAACTGTAGGATCTCTTTCTGTGAGCTAGTTTGAGTTCTCTCCTCTTTTTGTGTGCGGGTCTGGTCTGTGGTTTATGTGGCTTTTAACACTGGGAATTAACACTTGACACCTAAGTTAGATCTTGGGATTTGTCCAATATTATCTCTAAGTATTAGAGTGCAAAAATATTTCCCTTTAGGGTGGTGGGTGAGTGTGTAAATTTGGAGGACAGTGAGGAAAAAAAGAGGCCAACAAGGGTATCAGGAGTCATTGCTTGTCATTAGCCCAGAGGATGTTTGGTGCCATTAGGAGTAGAGGGTTTATTTATTTATTTTGTTTGGACTGGGGAGGAGTATGAATTTTTAGGATAAATTGCAGCTGGAAGCTGGTGACTGAATCTTGCAGCCCACCATTTCAGGCTTGAATGAACTACTTTCCCCATGAGATTATTTTAAGTGGCAAGATCAGGCAAGGAAGATATTGAAGAAGGACTTTTTTGTTTCCTATTCTGGTGATTTTTCTGAAGTTTCTGCTGGTTGTCTGACAAGTATGATTTGCTTTGTGGGTGAGAAAAGCCCTGTATTCTTCTTCCAAGGGGAATGTGTCTGCTCTTTGGATTTGGATTGAATCAAACTCTGGACTACTTGACTTTTAAGAGCAGTAAATTGCAACCTCAGGTAATAGTAAAGCAGGGAACAAAAGATAGATTTATGGATAAGGGTGTTCTAGGAGATCACAGTGAAGTGACATTTGAAGATCTGAGCAGTTTTTTCTTCCACAATGGAAGTGAAAAAAAAATAAATACCATTTTCATTGCCAGGAGCAACTGGGTCTTTTGGGTCGCTTAGCCAGGCAAATATAGCAAGCCTGCTTTAACTTCGTTTTGTTTGAGTTTTTTAAACAGAGAACAATTGAGCCATCACGTTGTTTCAGATTAAAAGGCTTGAGGCAGAAGTTCTGTAACTGAGGTAGGAGAAATGCCTCATTTCTTTCCCTACTCCGATCTCCTCATATTCCTCTTCAAAAACTTTCATCTACTCCCCATTGCCTCCGTATCATGTCCCAGTGGCTATGCTGAGGTATATTGGTTCACTCAGCTTTTGGGGCAGCAGGAACCTATTATAATGTTGGTCATGGAGGTGGATCAGGAAGATTATTTGGCCAGAGCCGCACATTTCGGAAGGGTCCCAAATTTAAATTTTCATGTTAGCTCCAACATAGGCAGTATGTTTTGATCTCTGCTGAAGGTATTTATTAGGTAAACCTAAACATTGAAAAGCAACCATGGTTTCTGTAACTCCATTTTGGCATTTTCTTCCTTTCTTAATTTATCAGGGCATAAAAAAATGGAGGATAGCCCAGGCTCCTAACCTCTGAGGCCCCAGTTGACCACTACATAGGCTCTCAATAGTGATGGACATAGAGGCTAATGAAGAGGTCAGACCTTCAATAACTAATCACACAAAGAATTCATTAAAATAAGAACTGGGTACCTTGAGAAGGTATAAGGGGGCCTTCTCTTTGGGCCATCAGGGAGGATTTCCCTAGGCAGATGAAATTGAAAGTGCAAGGGGAGTCAGCCAGATTTGGGGCAGTAAGTGTTGATATAAGGTCTTAATAATCAATTAGTTTTCAGAGATGAGGTGGCCTCTACAATGATTTTCGTATTTTGAGTTCGGGCAAGTAAGTGAATGGTGGTGGTGGTAACAAAATCAATGACTATGGGAAAATGATTTTCTGGTAGTGGGTGGGTAGATAACATGATTAGTTCAATTTGTGGGTATGTTGAGTATGAGTGAGCGTTGAGACATCAGAGTAGAGATGTTTTATAACTATATGATCTTTTAAGAAGGGCTTAGTTACTCTTGTTAATTTAGAACTTCATAGTGTATAAGATGCTATCCAGGTTCAATGGGGGGGGGTAGAAAGAATAGATTTATGGCCCCTGCTTTCAAGAAGTTTATTCTTTAAATGCAGTCAAGGAATTAAATAACTACAGAAGATTCCAGTAACCCTCTAAGACAATAGCAGGAGAAATGTTACACGCAGTACATGAATGATTGCCAAGGGAAGTATATAGATGCTTGTTGCTTTTCAGCAGTAATTGTCCAAGTAGAATTTCTCATTTGATTTTACTTTTGTTCTACTTTGGTAGTTTGAGGTGGGTTGAGGATAACATGAGCTTGCTTAAAACTACTGTGGGTTATTTGCTTTGGACAAAATGCGTTTTGATTTTAGGAGGTAGGTATTTTTCTTTGTCTCATTTTACAGAAGAGGAGAACAGAGGCACTGAGAAGTGAAATAATTTGCCCAAGTCACATAGCTAGTAAATAGTAGAGTTGGGATTCACATCTAGTCCACCTGAATCCAAAGCCCCTTCTCAGGTTTGAAAAATGCTGTTCTTTTCACTAAATATATCCCCTATCACTTAAGTTATTTGAAAACTTTATTTTAAGTGACTGCAAAAAATTTTCAATCATTCTTCTGATTTAAACAATGTATCTTTTTAATTTGGTGCTTGTATTTCCAGTTATAACTTTAGGATAGTTCCTGGAAATGGGTTTCTTGTACCAAGGAATATAAAACCGTTAAGGCTTCTTAAAACATATAAAATTCTTCTCCAGAAATGTACAAATAATTTACAGTCTGGATGTATTTTTCAATCCCACATAAAAGCATTTTCCAATACTATGTGACTTCTTAAGCCAAGACAAACAGAAGAACTCAGTAACACTGTTACAGATGGTGGTTAGGATGATGAATCACAGAATGAGCAGAAAAGAACTTCAGGTGTGACCTAGGCCACCTCCTTCTTTTATTAAGAACTAAGGCTCAGAGAGGTTAAGGGGCATGTCCCAAATCACAGCACTAATTAGGGTCAGAGTTAGGACAAGAATGGTCACTTAGCACTATGTGATATACAATTGACCCTTGAACAACATGGGAGTTAGGGGCGCCAACCCCCTGCACAGTCGAAAACCCATGTATTATCCTTGACTCCCCCCAAACTAAACAACCAGTAACCTACTGTTGACTGGAAGCCTTACTGATACTATAAACAGTCACTTAACACATATTTTGTATGCTACATATATTATATATAGTATTATTATGACAAAGTAAGCTAGAGGAAAGAATATGTTATAAAGAAAATTGTAAGGAAGAGAAAATACATTTCCAGTACGTACTGCAAAAAAATCTGCATTTAAGTGGACCCAAGCAGTTCAACCCTGTGTTGTTCAAGAGTCAACTATATTTAGTCAGATTCTATTTGAAGGTTTGGATGATTCAGGGATGTGCCAAAATGTCCACCTGGGGACTCGACTGAAAATTTAAGAGACTCTTACTGTTTGAGTTAAATTCACAGTTCCCCCTTGAAATTTCACCATTGTGAAGGATGTGGAAGTCACCCAAAATGGTCTCCCCTGAACTGAAATGCCCAGTACCCACTCAAGGAGATAAAGTCCTCTGCTGGGCCAGGGGAAACCTGAAATCTCCTTTATCAGTGCTCCTACATCTGGCCTACTGTGAGATTCATAAAGAGGATTCTGCAATTCTCTTTTCATTATTCTGTTGATGGTACAGGACATTTGAACAAAGGGCTGCTCACATAAATCAAGACTGATTTTCTATAGCACTGACCAAAAATGGAAGCTATTTGTTTTTATTATTTATTATTTTATATTGTGTCCCAACTGAAAATGGGTATGTTGTAAAAATTAGGGTAGAGATTGTGTGTAAAACATTTGACATAGTGCCTAGCACAAGCTAAGTTTTCAATGAATATGAATTTTTTTCTTGTTGGTGTTGTTGTTATTGCAGTGATTGACAGTAACATCGACTCCTCTTAAATCAATAGTATATCCATAATCATCAGAAAATATCATATTTTATGAGAATGAGTGATATTTTGGCTAAGTTCGGGAAACAAAATGTCTTCATCTTCTGTATGTTCTAATCTTGGTAGACATGGGGAGTTTCAAAGGTCATGCCCTCCCCGGAACCTTCTTCATTATGATGGGTATTTGGTGGACCACCAGGTGCATTCTGAAGTATGCCTGCAAAAAGCACAAACGGACTTCCTACCTTGGCTCTAAAGTATTATTCCATCGAATAGAAATTTTTGAGGGAATCATGATAATCAGCATGGCTATCACTGGTGAGTGGACCATTTCTGTGTTCTGTTTTCTCCTTTTGGGTATTTCTACATGCAAAGAGAAAATTAAATATCAAATCAACAAATCACTAAAGTGAATTTTTAGTAAAAAATATCTCTGAACACATATTCTAACTATAATTTTTATCTGATATAATTTGTTAGAAGGTGACACTTCATGTTTATACAAAGGCCTATTCCTTAATGAGTCAGTGATGGATATTAACTTGCCTGCCCACTCAAGGTGAATTTCCTTTATCGAATTAGTTGGAACCTTGAAATAATTTTATGTCATTTATTCTGATGCCTGAACGAGGAAACTCTATCAGAAGCCATTTCTCAAAATGATGCCAAAATAATCAAGTTATTGTGGGAAAGCCTCAGTCATAAGTTGTTGCTGATGGACTGTACAGAGGGGTCAGGCTGCAGAAGACCTTGCTTTATGCATTCATCCTTTTTGCGTGATTCCTAAATTGAAAAGGAAAGTTAGGCCAGATGACTTCTAAGGCCTTTTCATTGACTATAAGATTCTGTGAAAATTTTCTGTGGTTTTAGAATTCCACTGTAGCCTCTCCTTTGTGAAAGGCAGAACTTTTTCATTTCCCTTTGGATTTCCTCCTGCTTTATTCATGGCAATTGATCTTTGCTGTGGACATGAAATTACAGAGCAACCATTTCCAAAGAGAGGGATTGCCTTGCCAAATTCCATAGATTGACACATAAAGCAGCATTTTAAAGAAAGTTTTACTGTTTCTGTAATTGACTAGACCAGGTGCTATAATCTGTGTTTTCTGTAAACTTGACTTGGGGAAAAGCTGAACTCTAGTATTTTGATTCTGAATCAAGCACAACTCGCTACTTCTTGGCAGCCACCCAGAGATGCAGGATGTGTCAGAAGCAAGTAATCAGCCTCTGTAGGATTTATCTAGTCATTAGATGAAAATGGGAACTAAGGCCATCAGTGGAACTGATCAGGGAACTATGAAGAACTGAAATGATCAGCTTCAATGATCTGAAATAACTAGATGTTTGACTAAATTGGTTTATCTTTGACTAAAAGTTTGATCACCCAAACCAGTATTTGAACTTCTAAAACCAGCCTAAAGCCCCAGTACTTAGCTGTTAGGGAACAGCCCAGAGAGAAAAATCAGCATCGTAGAAGGACATTAGATTAGACTAAGGCCTGGGTTAATCCTGCGTCTTCCTGCTTTCTTCACGAAGTTGTGGGGAGGGTTACTAAAACTGTGATATATTCCTTTGCAGGCATGCTTGGGGAGCAGTTTATCACTGGAGGGCCCCACTTGGCCTTATATAACTATAAAGAGGGCCAGTGGGTCGAACTCCTGAGCTGGCACCATTTCACCATGTATTTCTTCTTTGGGCTGCTGGGTGTGACAAACATCTTAGGCTTTTTCATCAATTCACTTCCCGCCTCCTTAACCAAGTTAATGTTGTCAAATGCCTTATTTGTGGAGGGTAAGTATAAGTGAGTATGTTCCTGTACCTTTCACTATCCTTGGACACTTGTCTAGCCCTGTACAATAATATTCCTTTAGTGTCCTGGTGCTGTCTTGATCAATTGGGCCATCTGTTTGGGCCATGGGGAGATAATCAGATGTATTAGGACGCCAAGGATTTTCCCTCCCTACTGACTCGTCCAGTAAACTGGGACAAGCAGCATCCTTTGATGTGCTTTATTCACATTTCACATCATTCTTAAATAGCCACCTACCCTGGTTATTTATCTCTGGGTTATCCTGGAGAGAATTATGATTTCCATTTTTAACAAGTGAAACTGAGCTCAGGGTAGTGAAGCATGAGTATCCTGAAACAAGGAGACCACTCACAGCAAACTACTAACCTGCTAACTAGCTTTTTTCATATTGATATAGTGCAACTCCATCATTACGTGAGAAGTAGGGTCAAAAAATCAGTCACTAAAAAGAGGAGATCCTATTTTTGAGAGGTTAATGAAAAACACTTCTTTCCCCCCAAAGATTTTATTTATTTATTTGACAGAGAGAGACACAGCGAGAGAGGGAACATAAGCAGGGGGAGTGGGAGAGGGAGAAGCCAGCTTCCCGCGGAGCAGGGAGCTCGATGTGGGGCTCGATCCCAGGACCCTGGGATCATGACCTGAGCCGAAGGCAGACGCTTAATGACTGAGCCACCCAGGTGCCCCAATGAAAAACACTTTTTGTTCAGCTGATGTCCCTGTTACTATGTAGGGAAAACAGGTGTTTAGTAATTTGTTTTCATTTATTGTATTTGTAAGGACTAGATTGATGATAGAACTAAAAAAGCCCCAAAGGATCAGGAGGCAGTCATTTCCTAACTGTCCACCTTCCTTCCCCCATCTGAAGATAAGGACTTTCGCCAACCCCATTCTGAGAACAAAGGCTAGCTAAAAGATGGGCATCAACAACCAAGAGCAAGATTCTCAGTATCTCAGGGTGTTAACCATATTTTGAGTGAACATCTTTTCCTCTTCATCTACATGAAAAGGTTGAAGATAAAGCTGGAATCTGCTCATGGGATTAAATAAATAGGTAGTTACTATTTCTTGGGAGCTTCCAGAGCATCTTGTCATAGCCATCAAAGTCTGCTGTTATGATTTGTATATATATATTTCCTTACTCCAATGGACCGAATTCCTTAAAGCAAGGATTTGTCTCATTCATCTGTGTATTCATCCTAAGTCTTCCTCCCCTGCCCCCATCACACTTACTATTCATCCTCCTTCATAGAAGATGTTTGAAATATCATTAATTGAAAATGTCATGATATGTTAGACAAGAAAATAAAGGTTGGGAAAGGGAAAAGGAGAGATAGATCTCTATTCTTAAGAGGTAGTGATGATGGGACGCCTGGGTGGCTCAGTTGGTGAAGCGTCTGCTTTCGGCTCAGGTCATGATCCCAGGGTGCTGGGATGGAGTTCTGCATCAGGCTCCTTGCTCAGCAGGGAGCCTGCTTCTCCCTCTGCTTGTGCTCACAGTCTCTCTCTCTCTGACAAATAAATAAAATCTAAAAAATAAAAGAGGTAGTGATGACTCCAAAAATGCTAGAAGTTTCCATTATTGTGGGAAGCAGAGAGCACTTGATATTTTGGACAAATTGGTGTGTGTGCATGCGTGCGTGTGTGTGTGTGTGTGTGTGTGTGTGTGTATAAAATTATGTGGGGTGGGGAAGAGGGAAAGAGAGGGAGGGGGAGAGAGGGAGGGAGAGAAATGGTGGATGTCCCTTGGTTTCACTGAAAAAGAGAAACTATTTTTTCCCTCTCTATCAGCTTTTATCATGTATAATCACACTCATGGCCGGGAAATGCTGGACATCTTTGTGCACCAGCTGCTGGTCTTGGCCATCTTTGTGACAGGCCTGATTGCCTTCTTGGAGCTCTTCATACGGACCAATATCACTGTGGAACTTCTTCGGACAAGCTTTATCCTGCTTCAGGGGAGCTGGTTTTGGCAGGTGAGTCGAGGCCTCCTGTGAAGGGATCTGGTGTCTCCATCTGTATCCATCTCTCTTTGGTGGGGTATTTTGATCCAGAATTGGACACTTCCTTCTGATGGGCTGCCTGTAGAGAGAATGTGGGTCTTTCAGAGGTGATGTTGCTTTGAGTAGCCCAGAGGCCCTGGGGGGAGTACTGACAGAGCATCCGGGAAGGAAGTGGGGTGTGTTCATCTTCCTCACACACCTGAATATCCATAATGTAGGAATTCTGAGCCATTGTTTTTGCTAAAGCAGCTTACAACCTAATGAGTGATGAGCTTGAGAAATATATGAAAGGCAGGAAGGAGAGGAAATGATTAATTATTGAGAAACAACAATGTGCCAGCCACTCTACAGGTCTATTACATACATGTTGTTTCATTATGTCCCCACAGCGACTTGGAAGTTAGGTATTATCATCCCAAATTTACTGATAGGACTCAGCGAGACCCCGTGACTATCCCAGACTCACACAGTAATGCAACTAGAATCTAAATGTGGGTCTGTCTGACCACAAGTCCCAGGCTCTTTCCATTTTACTCTCTTGACTACCTAACTTTGGCATGTTGTCAAAAACATGTATTCCAATTAGTGAACTTAGATTTTATAGAGACTGGTAAATCATACTCTGATATGCACATATAGATGTAAGGAAAGTCTGAGATAAAAGGTGAATGTGGTTTAATAGGGGATGACTTCTTAGAGGAGATGTTTCATCACCAGAAAGCAGGAACTTGGGATGAGGTTATTGCAGAGATTTGCAAACTAATTAGTGTTCCATTAATAATTAATGATTAAGAATCTGAGGGAAGAAACATGGGCTGTCACAACTGAGAATAGGTTCACCTAATGTTGTCCCCTCTGGCAGAGAAATAATGTTTTTATATTTTACCAAAAGCTTTTCTAGGAAAGAGCTATGAGGTTAAAAATCTTTGGGCATTGGGGCGCCTGGGTGGCTCAGTCGTTAAGCGTCTGCCTTTGGCTCAGGTCATGATCCTGGGGTCCTGGGATCGAGCCCCGCATCTGGCTCCCTGCTCCGCGGGAAGCCTGCTTCCTCCCTCTCCCACACCCCCTGCTTGTGTTCCCTCTCTCGCTGTGTCTCTCTCTGTCAAATAAATAAATAAAATCTAAAAAAAAAAAATCTTTGGGCATAAATCTGTGACTATTTAAAAATCTTTTCCATCTATCAGTATGTCTAGACTAGTTTCTTTTTTTACCTGGTGGCTAGACTAAATAACGTTTGGAGGCTTAAAGAAAAATGAACATTTAATACCAATGCAAACACACACACTGGCAGGAAATGAAGGTTTAACTGTAGTACGTCTCTCCACCCTCAGATCCTCTGAAACAAAAATGTCTAGAGACGTAGGTGAATTTATTCCGCTTTTATTTTGGTGCTATGTGTGGTATATGAATGTTTATGGTCAAAACTCTGTCTTAAGTTGATAATATGACATTGTGATTTGCTTTTCATCATATTTTTTCTCTTTCTACTTGTCAATAGGTGGTTAATACTAGTGCATAAAGAATATGTAGACAGATTAGCACACCCAGACTCTTGGAACTATAAATAAGGAGATGCAAAATGAATGAGGCAAATGTTCAGATTGGCCTTTTTTTTATAACTCATATGTAAATGATGGGAAATGAGTGGGGGAAGGGACAGATGGAGAGGGAGAGAGAGAATCTCAAGCAGATTCCCCATTGAGCGCAGAGCCCCCACTGGGAGTGGTAGGGGGATGGAAGGCTCAGTCTTACAGCCCTGGGATCATGACCTGAGCCGAAATCAAGAGTCAGATGCTTAACCGACTGAGCCACCCAGTCACCCCTGTAGGAGAATATTTAAAGCTCACTTCCACACTTTGTCATTTCCAAGTTCCCTCCTATCATTGTCAGAGTTGAGGCAGTGACCATCAGGGGAGGAGGAAGACACTTCTGCTGTCTTTGCTTCCCATTACTTTGAACAGTAACTTCTGCTTCATCACCCTCCCCAACTAATTGCTCCCAGGACCCCTCCCATGACTTCCCAGATTGTTGAACCCAAAGTAAAGTGCAGCCTTATTTTGTCTTTATGAAAGACGAAAATTCATTCAAAGATGTCAAAAAGACCCAACTAAGCAGGAGTGGTCTGAGTCTGATATGGTAGATCAAATACTTGTTTAAGGCTGATAGTGTTGAGATAAGTGATTGGAGAATAAGACATAAAACACTAGGAAATTCAAACTCTAACCTATAGGAAATGAGCCCCTGGCTTGCTGTATATTAGAGAAGATAATTATTTACATTTTCAATGTGATATTAATGAAGCTTAAACTATTCAAAAACAGATGTTCAGGAGTGGCATAGAAGATACAGCAAGAAAAATTCTTTTTCAGACTTTTTGTTTGGTTGGAATTTTACATTAGGAAGCAAATTAGAATAACTAATGAGAGAGTAGTGGCTGATTCTATATATCAAGGAGGATTTAATGAGTTGTGGCATTTTTGTGGCCCTTGGTTTTCAGCTTTCCTAATTCACTTGCTTTTATACTGAAATGACTTGGAATGTTTCTATGACTTTCACAATAATCACATCAGTTAACGCTGTTCATAGGCTTCACAGTGGCCTTCAGTTAAGTCTTTAGCTTTCAGTGTCAGGCTTGAGGGTCTCAAGGAGATGAGTAGTGAGAGGTGCTCAAAGTTTCTCTTTTCTTGGTATAAAACAGTAAACATTTGGTTGGTAGAATTGGTAACGACCAATGAAGGTGACTTAAGAGATATTTTATTTTGGAAGCTCCAGAAAACGATTGTGACTATGGCATGGAGGGAGAAGTCCATGAGACTCTAGGTCAGGCAGACCTGGATCTGAAGTCTGGTTCTACCATATTAATCACATGAGTGTACACTATTTATTCTATGCTTTACCAGGAGAAGGTAAAGTTAAGTTGGGATTTGAAAGATGGTTAAGAGCCACCAAAGTGTCCAGACTTCAGGTTTAGGATAAGTGATATTCCTTGCTTATTTTGGTCTTAGCTCTTGTATTAGTATCCTAGGGCTCCAATAACAAAGTCCCACAAACTGGTTGACTTAAAACAACGGAAATTTATTCTTTCACTGTTTTGGAGGCCAGAAATCAAGAAATCAAGGTGTCAGCATATTGGTTCCTTCCTGGGGGCCCAAAGGGAGAATCTGTCCTATGCCACTCTCCTAGAGAGCTGCCAGCAATCCTTGACATTCCTTGGCTTATGGCAGCATAACCTCAACCTCTGCTTCCATAGGTACACCTGTGGGTTTCTGTGTATCTGTGTCTTCACCTGGCCTTCCATAATAAGGACACTAGTCATTGGATTTGGGCCAGGTCTAATCCACTATGACCTCATCTCAAGTTGATGACATCAGCAAAGACATTATTTCCAAATAAGGTCACATTCACAGGCACCAAGTGTTAGGACATCAACATATCCTTTTGGAGGTACACATTATAAGCCACAAAACTCAACAACTAAAAGACAAAAAATAACTATTTTTAAATGAACAACAGAGTTGAAGAGATATTCCTCCAAAGATGGTATACAAATGGTAAATAAACTCATGAAAAGATGAAGAACATTGCTACTTGTTAGAGAAATGCAAATCCAAACCACGGGAGATACCACTTCACACCCACTAGGATGGTAAAAATAATAAATAACAAGTGTTAGTAAGAATAAAGAGAAATTGAGGGCGCCTGGGTGGCTCAGTCGTTAAGCGTCTGCCTTCAGCTCAGGTCATGATCCCGGGCTCCTGGGATCGAGCCCTGCATCAGGCTCCCTGCTCGGCGGGAAGCCTGCTTCTCCCTCTCCCACTCCCCCTGCTTGTGTTCTCTCTCTCTCGCTGTGTCTCTCTCTGTCAAATAAATAAACAAAATCTTAAAAAAAAAAGGAATAAAAAGAAATTGGAATCCTTGTAAATTGCTGGTAGGAATATAAGATGGTGCAGTCACTGTGGAAAACAATTAGACAGTTTTTCAACAAGTTAAATGCAGCTTTAATTATCACATGACCTGGCAATGTCATTCCTAAGTATATACCCAAAAGAACTGAAAACAAGTATTCAAACAAAAACTTGTAAACAAATTGTTCATAGCAGCATTATTCACAATAGTCAAAAGTTGAAAACAACCCAATGTCTGTCAAATGATGATGAATAAACAAAATGTGGTATATCAATACAATGGACTATTGAACCATAAAGTCATGACGCACTAATGCATGACCATTGGAATTTTTTTTAAATTTAAATTCAATTAGCCAGCATATACTACATCATTAGTTTTTAATTTATTTATTATTTTTTTAAATTTTTTAAAGATTTTATTTATTTATTTGACAGAGAGAGACACAGCGAGAGAGGGAACACAAGCAGGGGAAGTGGGAGAGGGAGAAGCAGGCTCCCCACCGAGCATGGAGCCAGATGTGGGGCTTGATCCCAGGACCCTGGGATCATAACCTGAGCCGAAGGCAGACGCTTAACGCCTGAGCCACCCAGGCGCCCCGTACATCATTAGTTTTTGAGGTAGTGTTCAATGATTCATCAGTTGCATATAACACCCAGTGCTCATCACATCATGTGCCCTCTGAGGGTTGTGGAAGGGGAGGTGGGTGGGGGGGTGTAACTGGGTGATGGGCATTAAGGAGACCATTGGGATTTTGATAGAGATTGCACTGAATTTGTAGATTTCTTTGGGTGTTATTGCCATCTTAACAATAATAAATCATCCAGTCCATGAACATGAGATGTATTTCCATTTATTTAGGTCTTTGATTTCTTTCAACAATGTTTTGTGGTTTTCAGTGTACAAGTCTTGAACCTCTTTGATTCAATTTATTTCTAAGTATTTTATTTTTCTCAATGCTATTGTAAGTAACATTGTTTTCTTAATTCAATTTTTGGATTGTTCATTGCATGAATATAGAAATACAACTGAATTTGTTTGTTGATTTTGTGTCCTGCAAGTATGCTGAATTCATTGATTAGCTCTAATAGTTTTTTTGTGTGTGGATTCTTTAGGATTTTCTATATATAAGATTATATAACCTGTGAATATGGATAGTTTCACTTTTTCCTTTAGAATCTGGATACCCTTTATTTATTTTACTTGACTAATTTTTGGCTAGAAATTCCTGGTGAATAGAAGTGGTGAATCCAACACCCTCCTCTTGTTGCTGATCTTAGGGGCAAAGCTTTCAGTCTTTGATCATTGAATATAATGTTAGCTGTGCACATTTATTTATTTTAAAACCTCTTTGTACTCTAATTTCGAAATAACTGCGTGAAACTGCACAACTTAGAAACCTGGCACATTCTCTGAAAGTCCACTAATCCACAGAGATGGTTCCTAGTCATATTTTGAAAATTGCTCTTCAATGTCCTTAACATTTTTTTTAAAAAATATGACCTGGTAGATACTATCTGATGTCTTATCTGTAGCATCTCAGATATTTGGAGTTACTTTGCTTAAGATTAATCTTAGAACCAAACATTTTGAAATGTACTATCTTTGGGAATGTGGCTGATTATTTTAATATGTGCTTTTTGTTTTAAATTACAGATTGGTTTTGTCCTTTATCCCCCCAGTGGAGGTCCTGCATGGGATGCAATGGATCATGACAACATTATGTTTCTTACCATATGCTTTTGTTGGCATTATGCATTAAGCATTATCGTCGTTGGAATGATTTATGCCTTTGTCACTTGGTAAGTTAGTGATTTTTTGTTCACGTAAGTTCTCTTCCTTGGTATATGATCACCAAGACTTGAAAGTATTGAACTTGAAATTCAAAGGGGAACTTCATTCCTTAGTATTCCACAAGACAGTGTAATGTAGCAGAAAATGATCTGCAAACCCAGAAAGCCCCCCTCAAAAGAATAAATGCTGGCTTACAGTTAGACTCCCTCAACAGTGTCTCAGCTCTGTCTCTAACCTGTGTGTCACCCTTCAACACCCTTTTCTGTGCCTTCATGTCCTTGCATATGCTGTCTCCTTTTCCAGATGGTCCTCTCCATACTCGCAGTGAGCCCTCCATTTGCCCACATGTACATCAGTCATAGCAATTCACAAGCTTGCTGTCATTTTTTGACCAATATTTATATCTCCCATCAAATTTGAGTACATGATTAATTTGACATTTACTTTAATATTTCTAAAAGTAAGATTCAGTTGAAAAATCATGTTTTTAGACCCTGATACAATGTTTCACAGGATTGATAAAACACATATTCCTAGTTCTGCTACCTATCAGCTGTATGACTTTGGGCAAATTATGTAACCACATTAAGTCTCGGTTTTATTGTTTACAAAATGGGAATAATAATAGTACCTAAATGAGATATGTATTTAAACTGTTTAGGACATAATAAGGGCACAGCGGAAGTTCTTCTTCTCGTTGTTCTTGTTCTTGTTAGTTTTCTTGTTCTCCTCCTCCTCCTTCTGTATCACAAAATGCATAAGGTATAGACCCTAAGGGGGAGAGATAGACAATTGAAATACAATGCAATAGGTGGAAATAGTAGAACAAAGCACTATTGGAGCCCAGAGGAGGCTTCCTCGCAGTTGAGAATTAAGTTTCAGCTTGAAGGATAAAAAGGAATAGAAAGAGCTGAACATGGTTCCTGTCTTTAAGGTAGCTAATACCAAACCACAGTGGGTCTGGCTGGTCCCAACTACTAGGCATGCAGGCTCCCACACTTAATTCTTCAGACTTCAGTACTGACCTAAATGTTCTATATCTGCAGTCTTCATTTTGGTGGCCATGAGCTACTTGACTATATGGTTATTGAGCACTTGACATGTGCCTGGTGCCACAATAATTTTAATTAATTTAAATATCTGTAAATGCATAGTGACTACCATATTGGGCAGTATGCATCTAGCAGGTTCTCTAGATTCCTAAAATGTGGTAGCTGCTTCTAGGCCCAGTGGGGTCTCATCCTCTTCAAAAACTAGCTTTCTACTCTTCTCTTTTGCTTTGTGCTTCTCTGAGCTTCACTGCTGAAGCAGCTTTGGTGCTGGGTCTCTAAGTAAGAGAACAGTTTCCTTGTCTAGCTCCTGATGTCTCTGCTAGGCTTTGGGTTAGCTTACTTTGATCTGTAGTTACCTCCTTCTAGGGGTCTAAGTGCTTTGGGTACTGGGAGATTCTAGCTTCTCATTGACTGATTTCTATTAGTCCTATTTCATTCCTCCAAAGCATGCACATGGCTGTTAAAACTGGCTCTGCCATTGAGTGAAACTTGGCTTCTTCCTCTGTTGTTCTAGGCTGACATCTGGGCCTCACCTCCTTAGGGGCTGGGCAGCCTCCAAGAATAATGGCAACATTCAAGGAGCCTCTCTAGCTCATGTCGGCTCTCTTCCAGAGCCAAAAGAAGACTACTGTCTCTTCCTGTTTCAAAAAGCTTCAGACCTCTCTTATCCACTTACAGTTTTCTAGAAACCAGAAAGTCCATGTTGTCTTTTTCAACCTTTACCTTTTGGGCCACTTAGTCCACTCTACCTGACATATCCAAATTAAATGCCCATCTCTTCTATGAAAACTTCTGTGACAATTCTAGCCCTCATCTCCCTTCAGGAGTTTGTGGAGTACTTTAGTCACTACTACCCATTTTAGCAATTGTGATCTCTTTACTATTAGCTTACATCAGCCTGATCTGCTAGCTAGATTGTATCACCCTGAGGAAAATACCCTTTTTATATTTGTACAGCTCCTGGCATACCATCAAACATATAGAGGGTACTCAATAAACACTTATTTACTGTTTTAATAGATCTGCTTCAGAGTTACGTGAATATGGGCTTTGTTTGTTTGGAAATCATGTTTCAGATGCTTTTCAGTCTTGCTCTCATAGTGCTCTTGGAAATATAAGAACAAGAGCTCATGATGTGAGGTATGTTGATATAAACTTAAGCAATAGCTTAAAAAATGTCATGAAGATTCAGTACTGACTTTCAGTGAGGTCACATGGCAGGCTAATTCAGTTCTATAATCATAAGGAGTTTTGACAATCTATTTTTCAGGGTTTGACTGGAGTAGTTTGTAATTCAGTCACAGGTGATGGATTTTCAGGACATTATATCAGAATTCGTTTGACAAAGTACAAAGATCACCATGGAAACAAAACTGGGTTATGGAACCACAACCCCCCAAATCTTAGAAAAGTGAAGTTCTACTTCCCAGCTTTCCAGAATAATGGTGCAAAGATTGCCTCATTCAGCCTCATATCTTTCCAGAATAATGGTTCAAAGATTGCCTCATTCAGACCCATACCTGCAGTTCTGAAATGACAATTCATAGGAGAGACTTAGCTGTTTGGAAATCTTATTAGATGTTCTACTGTATTACATATTTAAATACCACTATTCATAGAATTATTTCAAAAGCTCCTCTCTATGGGTCAAGAAATATGTCCACTTTCAGGTTGGTTTCCTAAGCAATAATTCGGGTGACTCATTTCGAAGAACAAAATAGAGATGACCAAATTCCAGGAAAATGATGGTTTGCCTTCTGGAAGTTTGATTTCCAGATGCACTGTGGAAGTACACCCAGAGTCTCAGTTCTGCTCTTTTTCTTATTAATCGAAGAAAATCTATGAGAGCAAAACCTCAGACACAGCCTAACCTTAGTATCCTGGACCAACATCATTCCAGGAACTAGCAATTATTTGCACTTCTTTACCATTCCAGCCTTTAGTCTGTCTCCAGCGCCCATTTATGCACGTGCCAATACCTAGGGCTACAGGGTGCAGATAGAGCCTGAACATGCCTCATCTTGGTAGCTTGTAGCAACAGCAGACACAGCCCAGGAAAGAGGAGTGGGAACAGGAAGAGTCACTAGGATCTGGGTTAACAATTAATTTGTAATAAGTAGCCATGGGTTTGTTTTATTTTCCACATGAGCCACGAAGAATAAATCTAACTAATGAATTAACAGTTAATCCATTTCATTTAGCATGTATTGAAGCTGTGCAATGTAGAGATAATTGTGTGGATCTAAAATATGACACAAACACTGTCCCAGCCTTTAAATTATTTAAGCCTATTAGTCTTTCACAAGAATAGTGCCTTGAAGAGCTGAGGACATTGGGAGCAACATCAATAGTCAATTAATAATCAAGGCAAATTATTTTGATTGGTTTCCTTGATCTTGATGAGTCAATAGTTGTTATTGGTACTACTCAGTTGTTGTATATTGGAGGAGTTAATGCTGAGTTGAAAGTGACCGAAGAATTAACCTCTATGAATAAGTGAGTATTATGGACTCCTGGCAGATTGCTCCGAAGAACATTGATTCATCAGATGTGTGTTGAGCCACTGTTATGCACCAGATGCTGTTCTAGGCTCTGGCTAGCGTTAGGCACTAAATAAGATAAGGTCTTTGCTTTTATGAAGCTTTTATTTTAGTGGGATCCAGAGCACAAGTAAAGTCATTGCATATTTATGGGGGCAGGCCTTCACTGGAAGAAGAAGAGAGGCAGAAAATAGGGGATGCAGATAGGCTGGTGACGTTTTTCACAAAATGAGAATGATTTTGATGATTTGGTGTATCACATTTGTTTGTGTATTCCTATGTATTTTTGGAATTTAACTATGTTTTATCGATATAGTCATAGTACAATGTCTTTATGAATAATCATGCTTTGCTTAGTTTTTATTACATCAGGGAAGTGGAGAGTCTGCTGAGTTTCTGCCACTAAGAACCTTCATATCTTCCAGCATCAAAAATTATATTGCTGCTTACCCCCAGACCTACAGATCTCTTAATCTATGAAAACAATCACAAAGGTGGAGGGCACTTCTTCCAACTTCTTATTTCATCATGGATCACTACATGGACCATCACATGCAGTTGAGCAGTTCATGGCCTGCACAAAAGCACCCCTCTGAAGGCACAAGTTGGGACAGACTTGACATGGGGCTTGACACGGGGAAGGAGATGCCTTTATGCACTTCCTTTACAAGAGAGGGCTCCTTTTTGCAATACATAGCTAGGTGTATACTTGATGGAAAAGCTCTAGGCTGAGCTTGGTTTCATCTGGGCTTGGGGCAGCCCAGAGATTCTCTTGTTTGTTTTAGAAATGATCAAAGCTATGAATAATTAGGCATTCTCTGATGCCTAATTAAACAATCACGTTATACATTTAAAAACTGTATTGTATCTGTTTACTTATACCCTGCTTTAATCCACAAAAATTTTTCAGGTAGCTCCAAAGCCAAATAAAAGTGATTTTCTTTTTTTGGATTGCCTCTCCCATTTGCACAGATAATTCGGAGTTTGTTGAATTATAGATACATGTTGTTCTGGGTTTTTATTAAACAGCATAACGTGAGATGCCTTTCATTCTCCTCAGGTTGGTTAAATCTCGACTTCAGAGGTTCTGCCCCTCAGAAGTTGGACTCCTGAAAAATGTTGAACGAGAACAAGAATCAGAAGAAGAGATGTGATTTTGATGGACATTTAGTCTTTCTGGATGAACTTCTCTTTTTTAGATTATTTTTGTTCATGGCTTTGTTTTTTGACCTTTTGCTTGGAGAACAGGCGGCTGAGGATGATTCTTGGTATATTGTTTGTATTTCCAATTTGGTTAAAGTATTTTAATTCAAATATGTTATTTTTAGGTTTGTAAGTACTTCGGGTGATAAATGCATTTTGCACATCAGTCATGTTATTTGGGGCCTGGAGCAACTATTCCCAGATCATCTAAAGTTAACATCCATGCTAAGAAAAATGTTTTATTTGCCTTACATATGCTCAAGGTGTCTGGGCTTACTACCATTTGTAACTCATTAAACATCGAATTACACTTGTTTATTTTGTTGCTGCAATGAGAAATAAATGAATGCAGGAAGCTTGGTACAGACACTGCAAGTCTTTTTTTTGTTTTGTTTTACATTCTCATTATTTGTTTTCTTTCTTTATTTAAATTCAATTAGCCAACATATAGTACATCATTAGTTTCAGATGTAGAGTTCAATAATGCATCAATTGCATATAACACCCAGTGCTCATCACATCACATGACCTCCTTAATGCCCATCACCCAATTACCCCATCCCCTCACCTAACCCCCCTCCAGCAACCCTCAGTTTGTTTCCTGTAGTTAAGAGTCTCTCATGGTTTGTCTTCCTCTCTGATGACTTCCGATTCAGTTTTCCCTCCCTTCCCCTATGATCCTCTGCACTGTTTTTAGCAGCAATGTCCACAATAGCCAAACTGTGGAAAGAGCCAAGATGTCCATCAACAAATGAATGGATAAAGATGTGGTCCATATATACAATGGAATATTACTCAGCCATCAGGAAGAATGAATACTTACTGTTTACATCAATGTGGATGGAACTGGAGGGTATTATGCTAAGTGAAATAAGTCAATCAGAGAAAGACAATTATCATATGGTTTCACTCATATGTTTTTTTAATTCAACTGCACCTCACCCTTGCATCATGAAGAAGGAGCAGTGTGACAAATTCCTTTTTGTGAGACATCTCCTTCCGTTGTACCTGAGTTGTCCCCTGAGATAAGTAAGCCAGCAGTCGTCCTGAGTTGTGCAGTCTTTTAGAGAAGACAAAGAAATGATCCCTAGGACACATGGATGCAAAGCCATGAGAGATTAGGAAGGGGGAGTTATGATGTCATCTATAGAGTAAAAAGTCATCACCATACCATAGCATGGCCACCATACTGTCCCCTCTTTCACCATACTGCTGAAATAATGGAGGGGTTAAAATAAGGAAAAGTATTTTACAGATTACCTGGGTAAAAAGTCAGAGCTCTTACCTAGTCTTGCACTAAGTAGCCCTTAGTGGGGAGTCAAGAAATCTTATTTCTAATTCTGGCTCTACAATTAACCAGCCTCTAGGACTTTAGCAATCACCGTGTCCTCTCTAAAGTAAAGGAATTGAACTGGGTGAGGAAGTTTCTGGCTGTCACATTTTATGAATCTAGAATCTCTGAGATAAAATGAAGCCAATGTCAGCCGATTTAGTACCATGTTAGTTGGAAGGGCCTGTCTCTGTTGTGACAGCAAAGGTAAGGAGGGCTTCAGGAATCCTCGAGGGCTGATTGACTATAGAAGAAAGGAAGCAGCCTCAGGGCAGCTGGAGGTGAAATGTGGGCAATTAAATCTTGAAGCTCCATGGCATCCCAGAAGCACTGACAAATCCAGAAGCCTAACCCAGTCTGGTATTATCACGGTGATACTGGAGAGGGAAGTGAGTAGATTCTTTAGGCCAAAGAACTAGACACATTCATTATATATATATGTTGGAAAGAACTGATGTGGGTGCCTAAAGGCCTCTATGTGAATAATACAATAAACCTGAGTGCACTTCTGGCATATGAAATGCCCACATGCATGTGATGTTGGCATGGATTATGGCATTCTGCCCCATGTGTGTCCCATATCTTTTCTAGTCCAGCAAGCTTCTATAACTTTGGCAAGTTTGTGTTTCAAAAGAGTGAGCTGTCAGCTGCAGTTCATGAAAATGGCATTGCTGGTACATAGGCCTGAGACTCAGAATAATAAGCCGAAACCAGATCAGGGTTGGAATTTTGAAAACTGATATAAGTGCAAATATTCTAGCAGTCTTTATGAGAAAGCAGAAACATCCGTTCCTCCAGTCTCTGGATGGAAAGAATGCAAGTGAGATGCAACTCAGTGAGTTCTCAGTGAAGGAACATTTGGTTCAGGTCTAAAGCCACAGTCTGAGGCTTTCTGCCTCTAGTCCCTGAAATTAACAATACATTTGAACACCATTGTAACTTTATGGAAGCCTTCACGAAGGAAGGAGTGGGAGAGGGTGCCCTTCCTTATTTTTATTTGTATTTTATCTCAACTCTTCCAAAACCCTGGGGTCTCAATTCCTGAGTCTTTGTCAAACTTCCTTTTGTGGGTATCTCATGCTTCATTTGCCATAAACAAAGTAAAGAAACTCTTACATAACTCAGCCCAATATCAACATTTGATGTTGATGGGACACCAACTCTTCAGTGATTTCTGTAACTTCCAGTCTCCTTTGCTTGGGAAATGCGCAGTGCAGCCTCAACTACATTACCTTCCAGCTCATTATTGAAATGGGAGGTTGGTTCATGACCATTATCCCTGAGATCATGACCTGAGCTGAAATCAAGAGTTGGAGGCCCACCCTGACTGAGCCACCCAGGGGCCCCGAAACATAAGGTGCTCTTAAATGTTCTGCCACAGTGCGTAAACTTAGTGAGATTTCAACTTAAAAATCACAAGCCTAAATCTGTTACTCAATTAAACATTTATAAATTAGACCTACAAGACTAATCAGCATAGACAAAATTATTTTCAAAATTATAGATATCGAAAATGTTACACATGTATAATTTCTTAACACAAAAATATCATTATGAGTTTGATTCTCTTAAACATTACTGTACTTAATTTTAAATCTTCCCATGATAAAATAGGCTTACTGTTAAGGAATTGATTTATTTATGACAGGCAATGTTGGGAAATACCTAGTCTGCTCCTTGAGCTCTTGGACCCAGATACTGAATGGAACAGGATTCTTGACAGTGACCCTAATGGCACATGCTGAATCCTGTTATTTATGGTCACTCTATCAGACTCTCCACACAAGCTGTCTCCTGGCCTTTTAAAGCACAGGAAGGGCACCATCCTGAGCTGGAGTCCCCCTTAAAATTATCTGTCTTTTCCAGAAACGTACTCATGAAAATCTGCCGCCCTCGGCTAGGCTGTTATGCCATTTGATGGAATTTCATTATTCTTTCGCTCTAAAGATATTTAAATATATTTCCTTCTAAGTATAAAGACTTCTGAACTTGATGTTATCCTGCACTTTTTTTTTTCATATATTTCCTATTGGATAAGACTCCTCAATATTTACAGATATTAAGGTGATAGTCTAATGAATTCCAGGTCACTTTCTTTTAAAGGTAATTCCAAGTAACAGCTCTGAGATTAGATGTCAGTATTTCTTTGTGTCTGAAGCTAAAATACATACAGGTTCCAAAATATATAGACATAAGCTCACCTGACTATACAAGGGGCTTAGCAATTTAAAATGGAACTCTCTCCTCTGGTGAGAAACTGCCCCGGGTTCCTTTGCCTCTTAGATCCATTCTAAGTTAATTAGCGTTATGTTTTGATTAAATTAATGACTATTTAATCATTTCACTTGAGCGTAATTCACCATGCAGTTATGCTGTCATACTGTCCAATAAAACCCTTGGACCAGTCAGGTTGACTTGTTTTCTGTTCCCCCAAATATGTTTAATTTCCATATCTATGTTGTATTAACTACCCTACCTCCCTGGCTCCTTGCAGCCTAACTTCTGGAGATTCTTTAAGGCTCAGTTCAAAACCTTTCTTTTCTACTACTTCATCCCACTCTTCTCTGCCTGTGAACTCACACAGCACTAAATCCAGAGTGACATCGGATCATATGCCATCCAGTCCTGTAGTTACCTTTTTTAAAAAGATTTTATTTATTTATTTGACAGAGAGAGAGAGAGAGAGAGGGAGAGACGGAGAGAGAGCCAGCACAAGTAGGGGGAGCAGCAGAGGGAGAAGCAGGCTTCCGCTGAGCAGGGAGCCTGATGCAGCATTCAATCCCAGGACCCTGGGATCATGACCTGAGCCGAAGGCAGATGCTTAACTGACTGAGCCACCCAGGCGCCCCAGCTGTAGTTATCTTTATAGATAAATTCTTCCTTCTTAGTATTTACAATCCCCTAAAGACAATTAATTTTTTGTGTATTTAAAAACATGGACATTTATTATTATAAAATCAACTGGCTTAAGAAAAAAGCATTATATTTCTATTGGGACTTCATCAATATAAAAAGCTTTTGCATAGCAAAAGAAACAGTCAACAAAACCAAAAGACAACAGACAGAATGCAAGAAGATATTTGCAAATGACATATCAGATAAAGGGCTAGTATCCAAAATCTATAAAGAACTTATCAAACAACACCCAAAGAACAAATGATCCAATCAAGAAATGGGCAGAAGACATGAACAGACATTTTTCCAAAGAAGACATCCAAATGGCCAACAGACACATAAAAAAGTGCTCAACGTGTCTCAGCATCAGGGAAATCCAAATCAAAACCTCAATGAGATACCACCTCACACCAGTCAGAATGGCTAAAATTAACAAGTCAGGTAATGACAGATGTTGGCAGGGTTGCGGAGAAAGGGGAACCCTCCTACACTGTTGGTGGGAATGCAAACTGGTGCAGCCACTCTGGAAAACAGTATGGAGGTTCCTCAAAAAGTTGAAAATAGAGCTACCGTACGACCCAGCAATTGCACTACTGGGTATTTACCCCAAAGATACAAATGTAGGGATCCAAAGGGGTACGTGCACCCCAATGTTTATAGCAGCAGTGTCCACAATAGCCAAACTATGGAAAGAGCCAAGATGTCCATTGACAGATGAATGGATAAAGAAGATGTG